TCCAGGCTGACAGACTGACTGAGTTCCAACGCAGAACTTTGTACAGAAGTGCAACAGTTCAAGTTGGCGCACTTCATAAAGCACACATGAAGGCACATAAAGGACAGTGAAAATAGATTCAAAACAACAATAAGGAGCAGAAATGTGCGGGAGAAAGAAAGAATAATAATTTAGAAAAACATGAGGGTTTAATAGATGTGGGAGGTCACATAACATAGCTCGTCTCCAGTCACTTAAAACAGGTCAACATTTACAATGATTGCATTGAATTAGCAATTACTCCATGGTTAATTCTATTCTTTTTAATATTTTCTGAAAACTCATTATCGAGAATCAGAATGTATTATCTTTTGCTTGATTAGCCTATCTTAAAATACTTAGCTGATCACCTATTGTGTATTATTACCCAAATAATAAAACTTGTCATTGTGTGTAAACGACAACTGAAATATAAATATAAATAATGTTACGAAAAGAATTACAGCGCGTTCGCTGATGATTGCGGTTCTTCGACATATCTGATAACGTTTCGAGCTATCTCTCGGACTCCAACGAGAGGGTCGTGACGTATTAATCGATGCTAACTTACACAAACATCCTCCATCCCGCGACGCCATGTCACGGGCTGATCACCTCTTCGCTCTTTCCATCCCATCCCAGATCTAGCGAACAGAGACCAGTACGGTAGCCTCGTGGATGACATTCGTAGCAAATTCACGAGCCACCGAAGCTGGTGTTTCTGGATGACAACACTCAATAAATGGTGACTTCAATCATATCCAAATACACGTTTCCGGGCCTTAAAATCACTCGCACGATGATGCCATCGGAAACAAACAATTCTACTCAGATAGAGACGATCGAATACGCAGCGTCACCGAACATCCCAGCTCGAAAAGGCCAAGTTTCACAAGTGCAGAGCAAGACAGCACTCATCGAAGCATTGTAAACCCGACCTTTGACAGCCAGGCTAACGTCGTGACGGTGTCAGATGTGGCTCAAGTTGATGTATGCCACTCTAGCTTTCATGAAACGGTTGAAAACCTCGTCCGTCACACCTCCGCCAGCGCACACAACTACCCAGATAAACAAACTTATCAACGACTTCAAGCGTCTCACCTGCAAGAGTGAGTGCAGGTACAGACTCCTGCCAGTCTTGTAAGAGTACTTTGCACTTAGACAGTGCAAAGCACATACCATACTTACAGACACTGATCGCCAACTGATTAGGTGCAGTTTGGGCATGCATGCTATCACACAGTAAGGCTATATCGTCTGCATACTCGGGGTCAAAAGGTCTTTCTCCAGGAAACAGATATACACTGCCAGCAAGCACATCTTTCAGAGCTGTCTCCAGAATGTCATCGATGGCAAAGTTAAAGAGAAATGGAGAGATCGGACAACCCTGTCTAACCCCACTGTCGGCTGGGAACAGTTATGATAACTGGTTGTTTGTCCTCATTCTACCTTGAGGTATTTCTGTATAGGGCTTTCAGGATGTTAACAAACTTCTCAGGTACACCCCTTTCTAACAGAGCACAGTTCTATTCAACGAATAAAAGGCAGGTTTAATATCAAGAAACCCAACGATTGTTGATCTGCAATATGTGTGGCAGTATTCCAACAACTGACGAAGGATAAATACATGATCAGTGCATCCACGGCCTGAACAAAACCCAGTCTGCTCTGCGTGAATCAATCCCTCTCGTGTTTTGTGCAGCCTGCGAATCTAAACAGTAGCGAATATTTTAGGCGCATCTGGTAGCAAACCTATACCCCTTTAGTTGTCACATGTGTTACGTCTACCCTTTTAAAGATGGGGACGATGATGGCTTTATTCTACATTTATGGCACATCCTCAATTTCCCATACTTTCCTGAACAGACAGGTCAAAGCCATCACGAGAATCTCTCCTTTGACATGGTGTCTATTATTCAAGGCAGCGGAGCAGAGCCAGGAACTACGTTCTCATAGTTTTTGGTGACCAATACAAGTTTATACGCTATTTGATCCGATTAGATTCTGGAACCCATGTACCCTTTAGTCTGAACGCTACCTAAGCAAGCTTCCTGGCATGGTAGGACCTGCAGGAACATAATTCCAAGCCAGTGTAGCTTGTTGGGTCACTGCGGTATTCAAGTCCGACCACCACGACAAGGTAGCAGTTGTCGGCCGGGATTTTATATTTACAAACTCTCAAAAAATTAGGCCATAAATAAACGAAACAGAACTGTCCAGTAAGGTTATCGTAAATCCCGATTTCTCGGCTAATAAAGAATCTTTTCCGTCTTGACACTTTCAAATTAAAAAAACTTTGAGAAATAAACTTTTTTTTCATTAAACGTTTTTGTATATATTTCTTCCTTGTTCAAATGTTGAACACTGACGACCAAAATGAGCCATTTTTCATCATCTTTAATTAATCTACAAAGCAAAGGTGCTTTTAGAATCATACTGTGAGAACTCTAAGCTTTTTGACAGATATGACTCTACTGGTTGACGTGAGTGTTTTTCTACTACTTATTTGAATGAGCAGTATATGCTCACCTGATGTATGATATTGTACTTTAATAGGAATATTAAGTCACCAAGCTCTACTTTTGAATGATAACCTTCATTGTTACGTAATTGTTTCCACAAGAGCACTACAGACTATCGCACACGCATACAGAGTTTTCTTTTATTTGTGTTGCTAATGCACAAGGAATTGAGGGGATCGGAAGATAGGAGATATTGTTCAGGACGACGAAAGCTCCGCAACTAAACCAACCAGCTCAGATAACACTATTAATTGCAAATCATCCACCTGAGCTGCAAATCTTCTTTATTATTTCAAAATCTATTCATATATTAGAAAAGTATTCTAGTTGTGTTGGACTGCTTATTGCGTATATAGGGCTTTGCTACTAAAACCTCAGATATAAGATCACATTTTGAAATCAAATCAATATATCGGAGGTGTAACGCTACATAATCTTTCCTACTCTTCTGAAATCTCTTAATAGAAGGCTACTGAAGTCAAAGTTGACGAATTTTGGAAGTAATTAGTCACCAATAATTACTCTTGGTATTAAAGTCGCGGTTACTCGTGAATAAGAGGGTGTAGAACAGCCATTAATATTTTGATTCTAATCGACGGGGGCATTAGAGATATATGTTGTGTATTTCTAATTAGTGTTTGACCGCGTTGTACTAATTGTGATAGGCGTACGAGGAGAGATCTCAAGTTGTTGGACTAGGACATTGTAGCACTATATGAGTTATTTGACTATTTCTCAAAGCTGTGCGGAAAACTTAGTTTTCTCATATACATTTTGAATACAATTCAGTTGTTTTCAATTCCATTATTCTTGAGTTTTGCTGCTCTAACTCTTTGTTTTTATTGTTCATCATGCTAATGTCTTCATTTTTGTATAGTCTCTGTCATGTTTTGTCTGTCTGTGAAACATGCAAGCTGAAACAAGGTAGAGAAATCATGTTTTTATACTTTTATTCTGTTTACAAATCCCTAATTGGATTGTCGTATACTTTGAGAATATATTAGACGAAGTTTTAAGGCCACGACAACAATAACAACAACCAGTTTTGAAATATTAGACTAGAATCATCGTTGAAGGAGATAGACAGAAACCCATAGTTTTCGGTTTCGTACTTGCTGGCACACACCATCAGCGAGGCCTATCTTCAACATTTGGGAAGGTGAAGTGATGTGCCCTCTGCGATTTGAACCAGCGTCATCCAGTGATGCAGTCAGAGAAGGTAGCGCAGAGTTATTCGGGCCTACAACTGACTTCCTGATTGCATCGACACCAAGGACTAGACGCATGACACTGGTTGCTCCCTAGCAACCGCTCTATGAAGTTATTATTATCGCAAGATGACGGTCTCATTAAATAGTCATATGTACTTGATTGTGACAGTTAATCTGCCAGGTCTTCTGAACACTTTGAGCAGCAATCTACGAATGTTTGATATGTGATTCGCTATCGCTAAATGCAAGATGATGTTACAGGATTGGACTACACCGACTCCTAGATTAGAAATAGGAAGTGAAGTGGTAGAGCACGTTGACCGCTTCACTTACTTGGGAAGTACCATCAGCCCCAACAGGTTGATCTCTGACGAAATCTCAGCACGAATACAGAGGACTAGTTTTGCATATGCCAGTTTACACCGTCTCTGGCGTAGACGTGACATCCGACTATCGACCAAAGGGCGTGTGTACTTAATATCAGTAAAAAGTTTGAGCATTGTGGATTAGATCAAATAAAGTATAATTATATTTTAATAGTTTACACACAATGATAAGTTTTTTTATTGGTAATATTTCGAGCAAAATTACTGCCCGTGTTCAAACAATTCCAACACTGGTGTGAACACGGGCAGTAATTTTGCTCGAAATATTACCAATAACAAAACTTATCATTGTGTGTAAACTATTAAAATATAATTATACTTTATTTGGCGTGTGTACTGCTCATCAGTCTGCTCCGTCCTTCTTTATGGCTATGAGACCTGGTCATTGAGAGTGGAAGACATGAAACGCCTGGCTAGCTGTCTTTCATCCTAAGGTTCTGCGTTCTATCTTCCGTGTGAAGTGGTATAATAAGGTTAGCAATATTGAGGTTAGGCGTCGAGTGCTAGGTAGGTGGGAGGGGAAATCAATCGACGAGGCTGTGAAATTACATCGACTTAGATGGTTAGGACATGTGTTACGTATGCCTAGTCATCGCCTTCCTCGACGGGCAGCACTGTTAGCTGATATAGGGTCAGGCTGGAAAAGAGTTAGCAGCGGTCAAACCAAAACATGGCACCAGTCAATGAAATCTACAACAGTTACTCTAAGCCACGTAGTTTGTTCTTCGTTATTACTATTCCTTTATCTCGAATAAATATTATGTATGTACATTTAGTCTTTAAAAGAATATACGAATAACATGCCCAATTATTCTATACTATGCAACTAATCAATATTTCTGTTCTGTTTTTTTTTCATTTAGGTCGAGAAAGATCACAAAAGTCAATAGTTGTTGCAGCTGTTATCTTTTTCCTGTCTGCTGCTCTCATTATTCTCTCGTGTACAGTTACATTCTTCTGGTTACAACGTTTAGTAAGTGGGTATTTTGTTGCTTTTTCCCGGGTTTTGAATTCTGAAATTATCGATTTTACTTTTCTCCCTTCTTATTAATAGTTCACTTAATTTTCTCTTGCCGTTTACTTGTAGATGATGGACAATAGAGATACCCGCGATAATAATAATAATCATAAAGTCATTTTTGCAAAATATTTTCATTTTAAAAGTAGACATCAACATATTTAAAGTAGATAAGCCCAAACAAAGCCAATACCATTATTTGTTTTTTCCAGTAAAATCAACCCATACAAGAAGATATAACCAAACATTGTTCATTCAAGCATGTGTAATCATTAAAATCCCTGATTTAATAATATTTTTAAAAAATTCAAATGAACCTGGTAAATCTCATTAAGATTTAGACTAAACAAACCTAAACTGTCTGCTTAACATTCATAGTCTTTTTTCCGCTCATTAGAGGGATGAATGAATGGTAAATAGACTACACTTTGTTTTCTGTGTGTTGGAGATTTCCGTAGAATAATAGTAACAAGATTAAATCAAGTCTTATATTGTCAAGGCTGTCTGTAGTCTTTTTTATAGATATATATGTTGTTGTTTCGTTTAGTCCCTAGAGGAACATAAGGCTTCAGTTGCACGTCTCCATTGCGTTCGGTTCTCTGATAACGTTTTTACCTGGCTCCACGTCCGCCCACATGCTTTCATCTCCTCTTCACATCACCTCCTCCTCCATGTCACCCTCACACTGACGACCAACTCGCCACTTCCCATTCGGATTCCACTCGAGTGATGGTCTGGCGTGTGATGTCACTTACTTGACGGTTTTTTCAGAGTATGGCCAGCCAATCCCTCTGCATTTCTTCTTGCACATTTGTTGTACAATTGATTCCCGGTTGACTCGTTCCCAGAGATCCGTGTTGCTGATCTTTTCTGGCCGGCCATCTAATCTTGAGTATGGAGCGAAGACAGCTGTTGATGAAGGTCTGTAGTTTGTTTGAAGTGCCCTTCTTTCAGATTCCTCCCATTTATACTGGCTGATTGTTGTCTGTTGTTGTTGCTGCTGCTGTTGGCCAGGAATCTTCATCACCTCTGTTTTCTCTATGTTCGCCTGAACGAAGTCCTATCTTTGATGCTTCTTCCGCAAACCTGTTGCTTTTCACTTGCATATCTTCCAGTTTGTGGGAAATCAGATATATGTCATCAGAGAGGTCCAGATCCTCCAAGTTTTTTGTGTGAGTCCATTTTATGCCTGTCACCTCATTGTCCGCTGTCTGTCGTATTATCCAGTCTACCGCAATCAGTAAAATCATTGGAGATAGTAGGCAGCCAGTTTGTCTTACTCCTATTTTCACTTAGATGTATTTCGTGAGTTTTCCGTTGTGTATTACTAGGCATGCAGCATTATCGTACAATTGTTGGATGAGGTGTATAATTGTTGGCGGCACCGTGTTGTAGCGAAGTAGTTTCCAAATCACCTCTCACTCGAAGGTCTTTTCAAAGTCATTGAAGTTTAGATGAAGAGCTGGCTGCCATTCCAATCTCTGTTCACTGGTGACCCGTAGTGTTGCAATTTGATTGATGCACGACTTGTTCCTCCTAAATCCAGCCTGTTCCGGTCGAAGTTTTTCATCCAGGTTGGCATGTTTGATTCTCTCCAGGATGATGCGGCTTAGTATTTTGCTTCGGATGGATAGGAGTATAATGCTGCGCCGGTTCTTGAATTGACCTAAGTCCTCTATCTTTGGTAGTTTGAATAAGTATCCTTTCTTCCAATCCTCAGGTACTTTGCCCTCTTTCCACACCTTCTCCAGTAGTCGTGTCATCAAGTCCGCTGATGTCTCTGGGTTCATTTTCAATGCTTTTGCTGGGATTCTCTTTGGTCCTGCTGCTTTTCCAGTTTTTAGATACAATATGAGATCCGAATTTTTAATGTTACTATAAAGTCAGTGCTTGTGTATCGTTCGCAGACTTGGCGAACATGTCACCAAGAGCATTCGGTAGCAGCCTACTTCAAATTTTATTCAATGCCATAGGGCTGGCTGGAAAGGATAAACAACAACAACTTATTATCCAACAATAATGCAGAGGGAAATAGCGATAGACTGGGTATACGCTGACAGCATACACCAGGACCTCGACTGGAACTCGGACTGTAAGTGAAAAGTTGGGCGTCCGAGGTTGATGTAGAGGATATCATGTGAAGACGAAATGAAAGCTTGTGGGTAGTCATTGAACCGACTGGATTGGCAATATGCCGTTGAAGCTGTTTTTCCACTCGAAACTCAAAGAATGAATAATAGTGCAGATTCAGAATGAGTAAAGAGAACAATGTTTCGATGCTTATGAAAGTTAAACACCATACATATGTTGCTCAGTACTACTCACCAGACAGATCGAAATGATCTCAACATCGAGCCCCTGTTTCCCTTGTCTGAGGCTTATTTTAGCATATTTCTACTCCGATTGACTCTGTTAGGAGATTTAAATCAGTTCAAACCACATGAATTCTACCTAGCCACTTTAAAGAACTTTTAATTTAAAGAATACAAGTGTTCTTTGTTAAGGAACCTGCCTTAGGTGCGTTCACTTCTTATTATATTATTATTTATTGTTCCCTTGGGTTCCTAGTGGAACATAGGGCTTCAGTTGCACGTCTCCACTTGCTTCTGTCTTCTGCTGTACTTTTCACCTGCATCCATGTTAATCCATACTGTTTCAGTTCCTGTTCACACGATCTCCTCCATGTCACCCTAGCATTGACGTCCCACTCGCCGCTTCCCTTTTGGGTTCCACTCGAGCACTGGCCTGACGCGCGATGTCACTCAGCGGCCTCCTCAGAGAGTGTCCAATCCATCTCCTGCATATTTGTTGAGCGACTGGTTCTTGTTCTGTTTATTCCCATAGTTTCTTGTTGGTGATTCTTTCCGGCCATCTGATCTTCGGTATAGAACGAAGACAGTTGTTGATAAAGGTCTGCAACAGGCTGTTGGAAATATTCTTTGTGACACACTGGCCAAGTTTCTGATCCGTATAGAAGAAGTGACTGACTTGACGTTTGTATTGAAAATCCGAATTTTGTTGTTGATGCTGAGTGACGAAGATTTCCAGATTGGTTTCAGGTTGATGAATGTGTTTCTCGCCTTCCCGATTCTCGATTTGACATCCTCGTCCGTTCCTCCTGTAGTTGAAAGGAGACAATACAGGTGTATCAAATTCAGAAAATTATCATTACTGGTCATAGAATTAATTTCTTCCATGAGGCTGATTTAAGATTAGAGTATACCTTCAAATACAATCAAAGGAATATAACGTTTCTTATCTTTAGATACTTATTCGTGGTTTATTGGCTGGATCACTAAGTAAAGTGTCCAGCAGATTTAGTCTACCTTTCTGAAAATGTTGGCTTCAACATTAGACTTTTACCAGTAGGTCCTGGGTTCGAATCCCTTTGCACCTACTTTAGTCTGAACAACTGCATAATCATCATCTACCCTTATACAATAAGTTTGGCTTATGACTTAGAACACAGAAAACCTGTTCCATGAACTGTGTTCAAATGGCTGAGATGTTATTGTTACTTCTCAAATTCAAAACAGAAAAAATCACAGAGAATAGATGTAATATTTCAGGACTAGTAATTGTCTTTATATGTTTACAAGATTTAATTATAGCCTACAGGCAAAACGAAACAAAAAATTGTTAATAATGACGCAAATGTATTCAGCGAAATAAATTATTAATGTATTATTTTATTCACCTGAGCTGGCATTACTCTATGTAGAAAGTGAACAGCAGTTAACAATTATATACCTCTGGATTTCTATCCACTGCTTACTCTCTCTTTGTCAAACTCGAGCATTACAATTGTGGATGAACACTGTTGAAGATTTTCAAACTTGAAGAAAGCAGTTTTTGATGCATACCAGCTTGGCATTGTTTTATACTTGTTAGTCGTTTATGTAACTAAACCTTTGAACTGAGATTCTATTGTACTATACACCGGATCAGACGGTCGACTAATATTTCTCCTTTGAAGCGATAACTCTTTAGTTTTTATCTCATTAAATGACATTCTGAAATATTTTAACTAGGAATATTAATCCCTTATGAGTAGGAAGTTTTCTTAGATTAAACGAATTATCGTAAACTGATAAAAGCTATTCCACATCAGTTAATAATAATAATAATAATTTGCTTTATTCCCAAACAGTACTTGTGATACAGAATGGAATTCTCAGCATTTTTACTACAGTATTGCATCCAGTTAGTACATTATCAATAAATAGAATTCTGCATAGATTAAGGAAATCTCAGTTCATTATGACAACAACATATTGGCACATCGTTAGGAAAGCAAAAGTTGAACAGTGTTTGAAGGTGTTAGAAAAGTAGGTGCTATCGTATTTACTGGCGTAAGCTGAAGGAAGAAACAAAGCAGCACATAACGGAAAAAGAGAGAGAGAAAAGGAAAAGAAAGAAAGAAAATGTTGTACCTATAAATGATATGAGTAGGAAAGACGAGATCCAGTTGTTCTATTGACTATTTAATGAGTTATAGGTGTCACGCCTAATGCTTTCTTTATCACACAGAACTCGAGCTAAGTAGGGTATGGTTGAGTTTTTGTACTTGCTGGTGCGAGCATATAGTTTCCTATATAGGCTTCTGGTTTTGCCTGATGAGATTCGAGGGGAGAGTTGTGAGTGAAGAGGGTGGTGTGAGTTAGATAAAATAGATTTGGCCTATTTTTCACATGAGTCCACATGCCTGTCAACCAGAATATTAACAAGCTGGTTAAGTGGCACGTTGCTTACCCTGTTGAGAACCTTTAACATCCTGCGTAATATGTTATAGTCTTTCTTCAGTAGCCCAGGAAAAAATAAGGGGGAACAATAGAGAATAATAGGCAGAATGCGAGAGTTAACGAATTGTAGGAGTAAGGGTTGGGTTATACCAGAATGTCTTAACTTCTTGATGTAGAAGGTAAGACGGAATATTTTCTTAGAAATTGCTAAGATATGAGACGACCAGGAAAGATCAGCAGATAGAGTGACGCCTAGGTATTTAATTTCCGACTTGGTTTCTATTTCAATGCCATCTATGTTGCACATCTCGTGAGAACTAACCAGTTTGTTTAGGTCGGATTTATGCCTAAATGTGAAATCGACTGTTTGGCATTTGGAGGGGTTTAAGGTAAGACCGTTTTCCTTGGACCACTGGCTGATTTCTGACAAAAAGCCATTTAGTTTAGAGCAGTGACTTTGACATTTGACAGGCAAAGATACAGTCAGGTCGTCAGCATATTTGACAAAATTATTGTCATTTGAAGATGGTAAGTCATGTAGAAAGAAAGAAAAGAGAAGTGAGGAGAGTACAGCACCTTGGGGGACACCAGCTTCAGTGAGCGCAGCAGGGGAATTTACCTTTGTATACGGTGTACTGCTTTCTGTTAGAGAAGTAGGATTGCAGCCAGTTAGTGACCCAGGACTCAGTTTTTGTCATAGAGAGCTTATTTAGCAGTAGACATCTAGGTATAGAGTCGAAAGCAGAAGTGAAGTCGAGAAACGTATTTGGCACCTTTATCTAATGATGAGACGATGTTGTTGTGTAAGACGGTTGCAGCGTCTAAAGTGCTACTACCCTATCTATAGATAAATTGTTTGGGGTCTTCAAAGCTTTTAAGGGAGGGTTCAAGTTTAAGAAGTACTACTTTTTCCATAAGCTTTAGCAACGGGGAAGTGATGGCAACGGGTCTGAAGTTTACGTTCTTGCTATTTCCAGGTTTAGGGACAGGGACTATTTTAATGTCTTTCCATGCAACAGGTACGACGTTTTTGGAGAAAGAAGTATTTAGGATGTTAGTTAGTGGAGAACATAAAGCATCTGCACATTGTTTTAGAACATATGCAGGTATACCATCAGGGCCAAGGCTACGTGAGGGCTTGAGCGTTTTAAGACATTATAGAACATCGAGAGCATGAAAGTCATGAAAGTTATCAGCTACATGATTGGTAACATCAGAAGTAGTTATAGTAGGACAGCGTTATTACATTCAGTGTTCAAACTTTCGTGTTTGGATACACTTATAAGACCTTTTACATTAAAAGTACAATTCAAATCAATTTTGTAAAAAAAATTGCAGATCTTACACTAGATGATTAATTCTGTCAAGTTGTCAGTGGTGACTGATAACCCCAGCTGTAAATGTAATAAACTGCCAGTTGAGAAAGTGAATATATATCTGAATAGAAAGTAAAAGATAACAGCAAAATGTATTCTTCTTTATTTCAATAGTCTAACAGAAAATGTCATTCATCTTGTAAAAAAATATATATGCTGATGAAAATGTCATCCCTTCACAGTTTAGCCGTGATCTATCCGTTATTTCGTATAAACATCTATCTTAATAGCCGTGATATAAAATCATTATTCAAATGATTGTTTGTAAAAGCTTCCATCCACACATTTTCTTGACACTTAAAAGATTTATTACGGATGCCTTCTTACAAGAATATTTAAAAAATTCTATAGTCGTGTGCATTATATAAAATGAAATAAGAAATGTAATTTTCAAGTATTGGTTCTGTAGAGTTTTTGTTTGACTGGTTGGAGGATTTCATCATGGGCTGACATGAGTTAGAGAACCATTGGAAAACCTGCACGGAGTACTTGACAGCTGTTTCGTCCTAGTTTGGGTGCGTACTGATGAAGAGTCCCAAACTAGGCTAACGAAACAGCTGTCAAGTACTCCGTGCAGGTTTTCCAGTGGTTCTCTAACTCATGTCAGCCCATGATGAAATCACCTTATCAATATACGAATTTATTCTTTTGTCTTGACAGAATAAAGTTATGCAGTTTATTGAATTGTGTGTGCTCTTGTTGTCGTCCTGATGAAGATTCGTTCCTACTGCATAAGAGCTTTGGCTTCTGTTGGTGATATCATAATAGGCAATCCTTCACTGTGCTCGTAGTTGTTGTTTGGTTGACCGGGGTCAATTATTGACTCTCTAGTTAACAATTTGGAGAGTCCGCTTGCATTCTATCTGCTCTCACGGATCCCTAGCACTTTTATGCCATATCTTCTCGTTTTTTATGCACTCTAAGCAGCCTCCTTAGCTTCGAACACTGTGCGGACATTTTATGCCCACATGCTTGTTTTTGCATTCATTGGAAAGAGAAACATCGACTGATTGAATTCTTGAAGGCTTCCATCAGCTTGTGTCATTCAGTTTCTCCAACTCCGGCGAACAATGGGGAAGACAGGTGACGAAGTCATGTAACCAAAAGCAAAACGCAACAGTCGCTGTCAACTAGAGAGATTTGAAAGAAATCACTTTTTCCACTTATCTAGGAGGGGGCATCATTTCAATTACAGGCGACACGGATGGAGATGTCAAAGTCAGCCAGCATCGGAAAAGTAACACAGACCTTCATTAGTCTGAAATCACTCTGAAAATCTACTGCATTAGGCATAATGAACGAGGTTCGTATTTTCAGCACTAATTTCATGTCAGTTCTTTTATATGGTCTCAAGAATTGGGGTGTTAACAAAAGCATTTGGAACAGGCTTCAGGCTTTTGGCTCTAAACTGAAGTTCAGATGGCCGGATAGAAAACATTAGCAACAAAGGGCTCTAGGAAAGAAGCAATCGCTCAACAAATATTCCGAAGAAAATGGAGAGGGATAGAATACACACTGAAGAGACTGCTGAGTGTCATCGCTCTCGAGTGGAAACCGACTGGGAAACGACAAGTTAGGCGTAGGTCTGAGGCTGGCATGGAGGAGATCATGTTAGGGAGATGAGAGTTTCTGGCAAATCGTGGAGCCATCGAAAGAGGACTGCAGAAAACATAATAAAATAGATATATTCTGTTGAAGCCATGTGTTCCACTAGGAACCTAAGGAAATAATAATAATAATGTAATTTATGCTACATCTGTGGTCAAGAAGTCACTTCACAAGTTGTATGCATGTGTTCGACTTTTACTGGATAGTTTCATATTTTTGCATCCTGCAAACAATTAAGCCACTGGGACCAAATCCAATGGCCAGCCCATGAATTCTAACTTCTGCAAAATTTTACAGTTTCCTTTGTAAACCGATACGATTCAGATCACACACACACACACAATATGTGATCTGTTTGATACCATATGCGGTAATCAAGAAAGCAAGCATATTTGCATAAAATGACTATATACTACTGATTGGTTGAGATGAGTAGTTGTATACCACCAACGATGTCAACCAGTAGAGCTTGCTAGCCAGCCAGATCTAGGGGATCAGGTGGTTTGACGAGATTCGGCTCTCTCAGCTGGGTCAAACTGAGCACTTCACTGATGAAATCGGTCCTAAAACGGACGAATCGGTCGTTCGATGTCTCGACTGCTTCGATTTGGCTAGCAGCAAGCACTACAATTTGATGTGAGAGGGGAACACAACTACTCATGCTTGAATAATTACCTGTATATATATACTTTACATTTTACGCTCTTGTATTTCAATGATGGTTTAGGTTTTTATATTATTATTTGTTGTACTAGAAATTCTGCTTTCCCCCTGTGTCGTTTGCTCACTTTTGTTATTTTGCTTTATTTTTGTTTTCATTTTACTCTATGAAATCAACAGAAATTCGTTCGTTATTATTCTAGACTTGGTGACAGAAGTAGTAGTAGCAATCATGGTCAAAATGAATCAAGTGGTCATTCACAAAATGTTATTCATAACAACACCAACTATAATAATAATAATAGTATGGAGAAAGCAGCGCAAGGAGAGTTGTTAATATCAACAGATTTAAAAGAGAATGGCAATAATAATACTATTACTACTAATAATAATAATAGTCATGGTATTATGGATCATTATAGTCCACAGATAAGCAAAAATGATAATGATGAAAATGACTGGGACTCCCCGTCAACTGAATCACGTTTAGTAATGTCTACAACAACAACCACCTCTGCACCGCTGACATCATCAGTCAATACAAGTCCTGCTGATGAAAAATTATCAATACTTAAAGCAAATGATATAAACAATAAACAGAAAGAACAAGAAGATGAATCAATGGTGATGATGACGACAAGTGTAAAGAATTATCGGTATACACAAGAGAATAGTTGGTATATGTTTCGAAATTGTTTTGGCATATGCTGTTTCAAACCGGTAAGTGTTGCTTATCACACATACACTAAAATCAACTACCACCCAATAGATAACTTGTTTTCAAGATATAGCAGTGATTCTTACGCAATATGCAGACTGTTTTTTTTCACAAGAGAAACTCACCTAAATGAATTTTACAGGCATTTTTCGTCCTGTTTTATTTATAGAGTGTGTTACAGATCTTTAATGTCTTTGCCGAAAGTAGATATAACTGGTATTGGCGAAGTTAAACTTTAAGCACCACTAAATATCAATGGAGTACGACCGCACCAATGACCTTGAAACGCTCACTGAACAAGTTAGTGAAACCTGGCAAATAATGCTGTCATCATCATATAAAATATCCTCATCGAAGTGTTATGTTATTAAATGGGATATTTGGTAAGTTTCGGGAAGAATTAAGTTACTCTTTAAGCCAAGGACAAGTTAGGGTTAGGTTAACCTAATAAAGGCGACATCAGGGTTGGTTCGAGTTAGATTACAGTTAGTTTAGAGACATTTTCACGTTAGGGGCAGGTTTAGGAAAAATTAGGGTTAGAAGACCTAAATAATTACATACATAGAATGTGGTTAAATTACTCTGTTGATATAAGAACAGAACCTGTGCATTGTGGTAAAGTATAATTCCACTGTGGGTAAAATCTATTTTGATAAATTCTCACACTATTATACACTAACATTTACTGATGACGTTTCGAGCACAGTTTATTACCCAGTAAATATTACTGTATAACACCGTGCGATTTAATCAAAATAAATTTTACTCACAATGGGATTATACTGTGTGTTGATACACCAACCTAAAACTGAGAGCTATTTCTATCAAATGTGAGAGTAAGGTATCCTTTGTAACACTTCTTTTATACAGTTTTTACACATCTTTTTCAGAAATATATGTATTCCATACACAAAAATGCCTCCTTCATATGATTGGTGCGTTCGAGGTCATTCGCTGATTGGTAGTTGGTGGTGCTTAAAGTTTAACTTTGCCTTGGTATTTATTAAACAGTTGCTTATTCAAATTTATCTCTATATTGACTGACTGACTGACTAACTAACTGTGTTTCAACATAGAACTTTGCACAGAAGTGCAGAAAAGTTCAAATTGCCACAGTCCATGTAGCCTACAAATGCAAAGCTAAAAAAAGAGATTCAAAGGAGGTTTAAGGAGTAGAAATGTGAAGGAGAAAAAAAAGCATAGAAACATTGAAAAACATGAAGGTTTAATGAATTTGGAAGAATACAAAGAGTGTCTCCATCTGAACCATTCAGAATAGTTTTGAACTAGATCATTAACAGTCTCAAGTCACTGGTCCTTATTTGATCACTCCTAAGTCTTTTCCACGTGCGTCGGTGGCATAGCGGTTAGGACGCTCGCCGACCATGCACATCGTCCGGGGTTCGATCACCGGCCGACGCACTCCTTTACCTCGCTAAGCCAGAAATAATGCTGGTGAAGAGGAAAGGTTGGGAATGAGGCTAGCAACCCCGTCCTGTAAAATAAACATTGCTACAGAAACTTCAAGCCACTAGCTTGAAACCCTATGTTCCACTGGGGAACGTTAAGGATAAAAAAAGTCTTTTCCAACTTAATCTCATAATTAGTTAACATTACCAGTTGAAGAAGACAGTGGCTTGGCATGCTGTGTGATGATCTGGAATTGACTGACTGATTACTACTGATGTAGTAGATGGTGATTGGAGACGAAATCAAATTCTATAGCAACTGAGATTTTCATTTCGTCTCCAGTCATCACACGCTATAGCACTAGAAATTTCTGGATACTATTGTTCACATATGTAACAGTAGAGTTAATGTGGGATTATTATTATTATCATTAATATCGAAAACAAGTTCATTCTTTAATTTATGAAACATAACATTCCTTTTATCCTCAGTTTTTATAATTGCTGTTGTTACAGTTGCTAAACCAAATTCATAATTTGCAAATTAATGCGTGATTAGCAATTTACACAATTCCGAGCTGGGAGTGGGGTGAAATTTCAGCACATTTCCCCTTGGAAACGAAGATTATGCAGATTCCGCCCCCTCAAGCCCCGCACACAGTATGCAATCTACCTGGTTCCCATAATAAATGGCAATCAAGATGGCAAGAATTAATGCATGGCGTCATACACTACTGATTGTTTCATATGAGTAGTTAAATATAATTCGCATCAACTAGTAGTGTGTTGAAGTTTTGTTTGTTGCCTATGAGCATAGAAGTCACTTGATTATCATGAATGACAGCGAATTAGTCGTATTTCTCCTCTCACTGTAATCTAAGCAAAAGATTATGGAAAGTTTTATTTATTTTGAGAAGAAAATCCAACCATATCAATGGATCAGAAGATGTAGCATATTGAATACTACATTGTTATGTACGTTAGTATTGCCAGTGGTAGAAGCAAATCTCAAGTAGAACTAAGTCAAGCATTAATGAGTTAATAAGAAAATCATGATACTGGCTGGCGATTGCCGTATAAATATCACAAATTTGGCTAGATTTGCAACTCAGGGGCCTTTGGATCGGATCTCAAGGGTTGAATGATCTATGAGCTTGCCTTGTAACCGGAAGATCCTGGATTCAAACCCCTGAGGGTGCTTACTACTGTTGAAGAGTCCTGAACTGGGATGAAACAACTGTCCGGTACTCCTTGGTTCTTGATAGTTTTATTACTGATCTCAGCTCGTGGTCAAACCTGTAAAGAAAACCATGCGTTAACAAACGCCAGTCTTTTCTGCAAAGAGATCTGTTAATGGTCTGCACTAAAAGTAGTAGTAGTAGGAGTAGTAGTAGTGGTTGAGTACAGTAATCAATATGAATGTAACGTTTGACTTTAAGTGAATCAAAATGCAATTTAAGGTTTTTGTTTAAATTTACTAAAGTCTAGTCTATCTTTTTTGTAATGTCACTCTACGGTGCATTAATTTATGACATTCATTTACCAATTTTTCATGAGACATTCTTTTTTCATACTGGAAATTGTGTGTGTGTGTGTGCGTGTCATTGTGTCACTCTACGACTACACAAATAATGCTTATAAATAGCTTTACTTTCATGTGACACGTGTCTAAGTTAGTTTTGGGTGATAGTGTAAACCAAAATAAAGAAATACTGAAGAAAATGTTTTCTATGCTATTTGAATACATCCGACTAAATCTCAGTATAGTTTGCTTACCTACTACCATCTTTGTTCAGTTCTCATCGGGTAATAAAGCTGAACACTTGTAGTGTTCAGATCTTTCGTCTGGAATATGGGCCTTCAAGGTTTAAAGTTTTAGTAGTGATGGTATTGCTTTTATGAGGTGAGGTCGCTGGTCTCCCAGTCAACCTTTACCCTTTTCTCGTGGCTTACTACCGACTAGGCGAGTTAGAGGAGTGCGTCGGCTGAAAATCGAACCCCAACCACGGAAGTGGTTGGCAAGTACTCGGATTAACTTTCTAATGCTTATATAGATTTAATTCAAATTCAGTCTCTTTTAGAAGTTGGAGGATTTCATCATGAGCGGACATCAGTTAGAGAACCACTGGAAAGCTAGCTGGGAGTACTGGACAGCTGTTTCGTCCTAGTTTGGGACTCTCCACCAGTATGCACCCACCGCCAGGGTTCGAACTCAGGACCTTCGGGCTACAAGGCGAGCTCGTAGACCATTAAACCACTAGGACCCGATCCAGTGGCCAGCCCATGAATTCTAACTTTTTCCAATGGTTCACAAGCTCGCCTTGTAACCAGAAGGTCCTGGGTTCGAAATCCGGCGGGTGCGTACTGTTTAAGAGTCCCAAACTAGGACGAAACCGATGTCAGCTCATGATGAAATCCTTCAACCAATCAAACAAAATCTCTACAAACCAATACTGGAAAATATGCATACATAATTACTTTTTTACTTGATACTGATAAATAAATTGACTGGTTGATGAGTTTACCAGATAATAATCCTCTTAGATGAATTACTGCCTTTCACCAATCAATCACAGGTGTTGTATAACTTAAACTGCATACTCTGTATTTCTACGTCTTACTTGTTTCATTTATCAGACACATGGTTTTAATTGAAAGTCTTTCCACTTATAGAATCGCCAGATGTAGTCACAGGTTTGGCAAATAAATAGCCTTTATCTTATCTTTTTCTCTGGATAATTCTTTCTGAATAATGTATTTAAAAGAAATCTGTGGGTACCTGAGTGAGTGAGAAATTATTATCCTTATTCAAGTTATTTAGACTCTACAATTACATTAACTGTAGAAAAATATGGCAGTATTTACTTCCGAAAGACCAATTACAGATAAATATGTATTTATGTATTATGAATAAAAAAAGAATTACACGAATAGAATACAAGAGTGGTTTACCAGGTCGGGTGTGAGGACAAATACTTGCCGAAGGAAGATATTGGTTATCGATAAGGCTGAATTCATGGGTCGTTGAATTCCGTCCCAGTGGCTGGAATGGTCAATGACCTCATCTTATAACTTGAAAGTTTTAATTTTTTTTCCCCGGTAGGCTCATGGGTGCGTACTGTCGAGGAGTTCCAGACTAGGATGAAACAGCTGCCTAATACTCCCCTTGTTTTCAATAGTTCTCTAACTGATATCAATCCTTGATCAAAATTGAAGCCAATGAAATCCCTGCAGACTAAGTTTTTTTTATTCCTGCACGTTCCCCAGTGGAACATAGGGCTTCAAGCTACAGGCTTGAAGTTTCTGTAGCAGTGTTTATTTTTACAGGATGGGGTTGCTAGCCTCATGCCAAATCTTTCCTCTTCACCAGCTTTAGTTGTGGCCTAGCGGGGTAAAGGACTGCGTCGGTGGCCGGGGATCGAACCCCGGACCATGTGCATGGTCGGCGAGCGTCCTAACCGCTATACCACCGACACAGACTAAGTTAAAGGTGGTAATATTTCTTAACACACGGTAATCGAAAGTGACACTAATTAGCAGTTTCAAGGGAACTGAAACACTATATGTTAATTGTGAATTTGCAAAGCTCAGTT